ACAGCCCCAACCTTTAGCTCCCTGTTCTTGGGCCCCCTGACTGCAGCTTTGATTGTTGACCTAAATTCCCCTTTCATAACTGAGTCCTGTCACCTCTGGTTGGAGTCTCCCAGCAAAACAGGCACGGCCAAGTTTCAGAAGTGCGGGGCACTGTTTTCCGTTCCGCCTCGCGCGGCTCTGACAGGCTCCGCGGCACCTGATGTGTTCAAAGMCAAACTGACCTCCCTCTTCCCCTTCCCCCACCTCTCCCTCCTGGAAATGAAACCATAACAAGGAGGATTTTTTTTTTTTGCTTTTTTATTTTTTTTTTATTTTTGCTTTTGCTTTCCCCCCTCTCCCTCACCTCCACTTCCCATTGCTCAGCAAAGCGATGAAACTTTTCCCATGTGAAGGATGAAATTCTTAGTTCATCCTGTGGCTGGGTTGGTTGCTGGGAAGATTGCTGTTATCCAGACAGAAGAAATCGCCTTGAACTGAGGGAGGGAGGCCTGGAGTGTGTTATTTGTAACATTACAGTGGGTTACAACAGCTTGCATGGGCTACTCCAGCCTCTTTTCTGTCAAACTCTGCCCACAGAGGGCTGCTTCTGGSTCCAGCAGCCTCCAGCTGTGGGTTMCTGTTCCTCTGCTCCCATCCCAGTTGCAGCAATGCCTCCTGTCCCCACCCAGAACTGTCTCCCACAAGTTCAGCAGCTGATGTTCCACATTGTGTTCRTGCTGCCAAACCCTGCCCAACATGCAGGGCCCACACAAGGATGTGGATCAACTGAAGTCCCCAGAAAAGTCCTGAAAACAAAGTGGGTCCTAAATGCTGGCGTTGGTTTGGGCCTCCTGGAAGAGGTCACATGGACAGTGATGGCGGGGCTGTTGTGGGTCAGTAACCAGAGAACTGAGATTTCGCTTGTAAAAGAGGAGAGGGAGACGGCATTTCTCATTTTTCATGTTTGGCTCTTGGCTTTGGGCTGCTGGAGTTGAATTTTCCAGCTTTCCCCAMTCTTTTGATGCCCAGGAATTTACTTTTCCTATAAGGGACAAACATCAYGGGACTGGAAGGAGCCTCATGGGCCACTGAAATCTGTCTCTGGCCAAGCATTAAAGAATGTGGCATCTTCCTCTGTTCATGCACTTCTCCAGAGTCCTCTGAGAAGTGACTCACTSCTTTGTGGGGAAGGGAACTTACCAGGGCCTCTTGCTGCAAAGCTGAACTAGCACCTCTTCTTTTTMTTTTATTTTTTTAATTAAATATAAAATTCCGTTTCAATCCCTYGGGCTTCAGGAAAGAGAACTTTACAAGGAAAAGATCCTTCAGACTAAGGAGTCAGAAGGGCTGTCARTGTTCTTCCCCTCAGCTGGAGCTCCATCCCTTTCTAGCAACTCGGGACAAGCAGAAGTGAAGAAAACTGTTTGCTGCTGTATGAAACTTGTACATATTTTTTTAATCTAATTGCTGTGGGGAAAACAAACATCAGTTTTATTTCACACCATTTCTTGGCTCAGAAACCTCAGGCACATTCGCCAAATTGTGGTTTTTCAGTCATTGGCTTGAGYCTCATTTACCATGAGGCCTCTTTGGTTGGTAAAGAGATATTAAGTAGCTAAAAATGTCCTTTACCACATTATTGTAAAGAATTCTCTGTGTAAATGAGAATCTAAACTCTGTATATTTTTCATGTAAATGTTGGTTGTGGTCACAGCTGACTTGAAATCCGGAGTGTCAACCATTMTGTGGGGTGATTTTGCTCAAAACCAGCCTCGTTTGGGGTAAAAGAGGCCTCTTCTTGTTTAAAGTGTTCTTAATTATGTCTGAGAAATAACTCATGGCTATGGAACCTTTTACTAAATTGAAATAAATTGTGAAAACATCAAATTATTCAGTTTCCAGAAGTTCTGGCAATTATTTTACATGTCGCTCTTCCAATGGCTTTGCCCTTATTAGTTGTCATAGAAGAAGTAATAAATTCTTTTATTATGACATGCAGTGTCCCAGCTGAAATTAGTTTCATTGTGCTGGGGACAAAACGGAAAAGTGACACTCCCTTAGCCGGAGGATCCTCAGTCCAAAGCCAAAAGTGAARGATTGGGAAAATAGGTGAAATGTTCAAGAAAAAGAGGGTCATAAAGAATTGGTACAGTTTGCAAGGGAGCTGAGTTTCTTATCCTTYTTTTACCTTTTTTTTCTCTTTCTCTTAAGAATAAAACAACTCTTGTCACTGAAAGGCTTGTGCTCAATCCMTCTTTTCATCAAGAGTTGGATGTCTGCAATAGTAAAAGTTTCAGAAAAGAATACCGTACGTGGCATAAGGATTCTGCAATGACCTTTGCCCCAAACTCAAAAATGCAAGGAACTGGAATRGTGGAGTGTTTTAGTTCAGCAGCTTTCATACTGGCGTGTTCCGTGATGTCCCTATTGTCACTGGGTTTTTTTCTTTCTCTGCCCTCCTTTGGCTCCCTGTAAATCTTGAATTGATGGCAGCTGTTTGARCCCAACTCAAGACACGTTGCATCACATCGGGGTTTAAAGGCTCAAAGGCAAGGGAGGATTGCTACTATTCTGTAGTATTCCTCCAGCAGCTCCTCGTGCTCAGCCGAGGTCAATCACCAGCATCATGCAGCACTTCAGAGAGAGGAAGATGTTCTTTAAATGCTGGCCAGGGAAATGAATTTCCATGCCACAATAATTTATTAGCTCTTCGGGGGAATATTTCTAGCCCCAGTCATTGCAAGGAGCAAAAAACCTTGATCCTTAAAGACTTTGTGGTGGACTTTCCTGGAACTGGAGACCTTTTCCAGGACTTCCAGCTCTCCATCCAACCGTGGGGATCTTGGAGGCCTGAAGAARCAGGTGGAGCTGCTTTGTGATCCACAAACCTGGAGGATTTGGGCACTGGTGGCAAAGGAGGCAGGAGATGGTGGGGATTGTGGCAGGGATGAGTTGTCCTCTTGTGCCTCAGCCAGAACAGCCCAGGGAGTMCCTGGGGTTCCCCTATCCATGCTGAAGACGTGCAGATTCTCAGAGGGATTTGTTGGGACAAACCAAATTCTGCATCACTTTTTCTTCTCTCACCGTGTTGGCATTTCTTGGCAGGCAGAAAACTCTCTTACAAAATGCCTGATCAGCTCTAATGGTCTTATTACAATAAGCTGAGATTTTTATGACTTCCTTGGGAGAGGGACTTGTCTTGCCAGCTGTCTTCTTATTCATTGCAGTATTATCCACCCACTATCGTTGGACAATACCTTCATTTGAGATGCATAAAAATACAGACTTTTATGGGCTCTCATCCATCTGAAAATGAATGCTTTGTAAAAGTTTTAATTCCATAAAGAAAAACTAAAAAAYGCTTGAAAAACAGACTCCAGAAGGTTATTGGTAGCTTTGGCTCTCATATCACAAGTTCCTCGGGTAAATATCCATCCCAGCAAATCTCTTTTTTTTTTTTGAAGCACATTTGTTTTTTTCCTTGCCTGGTTCTCCTCCTCTCCTTTCTCGTGATCAGAAGTAGCAGTATAAACCAGAAGCTGGTCTTGAAAAGGTTTTGAACTGAGTGCGCCCTACAGATGAATAAACACATTACCTTCCGAACCCTGGGATCTCTCTTCCAAAGGAAACAGGAAAAGGGGGAGCTCAGAGTCCCTAGCAAAATACCAGCATGCAGGAAAAAAAAAAGGCCCGTTAAAATGTTTTTAACTTTCCCATCAGAAGGGTTTTTTTACAGGGGGAGGAGGTGGTGAGGGGMAGGGTGTGAGGAGAAGGGGGGAAGGTGGGTGCTGGGAGAGGGGAGGAAAAATACAGTGAATGCTCCTGTAACCTTTGCTCTGTTGATACTAGACAAGACTGCGCTGTTAATGAGTGATTGTTAACAGATGGCTCTCGAGCAACTTAGTCAGAAGCAGAAGATGTTATTTGGTTGTAGTGARGGGAGGGTGAGGGTGCAGGGGTGAGGTAAGGGGATATTTAGTCTTTTCATGAGGACTGAACTGTCAGAGATTTATGATTTTCCTTTAGGCTTTTGGAAGTGGAGGCTCTGGGGAGGGATTGTTTTCCRTGTGCTGATAGTAGAAAGGCCGTTTGGTGCTGAAAGCTCCAATGACTGTGTTTTTGGTTGAGGGCTGTCCCTGCAGCCCTTGGCCTTTGAGGACAGAAGGATGGAAATGTCCATCTTTAACTCACCGAGCCTTGYGTCCCAAACTGGGAGGGAGTGGGCTCTGTCCACTGCTTGGAGCTGTCTGAGGACTGGTTGGGAGGGCTCTGAGTATGGATCCACACTTTGCCTAGGACAGAAATCATTCCATGGTGCACCAAGTTGTCAGGAAGTGTGCCTGTGATGGGGCGGGAGCTTTTCTGAGTGCCCATCTTTCTGTGGATGTTCATCTGTTCAAATTTCTTGCCTTCTCCCAGTGTGGTGTGTACCAGTGTGTTCCATRTCCTTACTGGTTTTTATTGGGTACGACTTTGAAGGCAGCCTGAMCACATCCTGTTCACTCTGTAGGATTTGTGTGCTTGAACCTATCAAGATGACTGCAGCTGCTCAATGTTTCTCAAAGTGTGCAGAATTTAGATTTTGTATTTATTTCTCTTCTAGACCTTGTTAGATACAGGGTTCAGGGATATGAGGGATGAATGGCATCAACAGGGATTGCTTCTCATGACCGTTTTTGTTTTCAGCCACTGATGAATGGCTTGAGGGAGGTGAGAACCAAATGCACAGCCCAACATTTTGTTGATAGGAATTTGCAGAAGAGCTCTGGGCTTTGGTCAGGAAAGGGGAATCCCATTTATACACACCACAGGCAAACCTTGACCTTTAATAGGAAGTCTTAACATGACCTCCCACAATGATGCCCTAGATGATTTAAAGTSTTCCTTGTGCACTAACTGCCTAACAGATGTAGGTGAGTGTGTGTATATACATTTAGAGAGATATATTTACACAATTTAAAGACTAATGCCTTCGTTCTGTCATCCTTATTTATTCATATTTCTCTTTTGGGGGCACGTAGGACTGTATGACAAATGTTCTTACACCTCCCGTGACCGAGGCTGGGTCCTGGGGATTAACACCGTCAGTGACCAGGGGAACAGAGACCCCCGCTATTTCTTCTCGCTGAAGACAGACCGTGCTCGCAAAGTCACCACCATTGTGGCACATCGCAGCTACCTCCCCAACCAGTGGGTGCACCTGGCCGCCACCTACGACGGGCGCCTGATGAGACTCTACGTGAACGGTGCCCAGGTGGCCACGAGCGGAGAGCAGGTGGGCAGCATCTTCAGCCTGCTGACCTTGAAGTGCAAGGTGCTCATGCTGGGAGGAAACGCCCTGAACCAGAACTATCGGGGTTACGTGGAGCACTTCAGCCTCTGGAGGACAGCCCGGTCTCAAAAGGAGATCTTGTTGGACATGGAGCAGGYGATTCACAGGCCAGACACGCCCCTACCTCAGCTCGTTCTTCAAGACAGTTTACTGAATGTGAAAAGCACCTGGTCGCCCATGAAGGATGGCAGCAGCCCTCAGACCAAGTTCAGCTACCACCACGGCTATTTGCTGGACACCAGCCTGGAGCCCCCTCTCTGCGGGCAGACGGTGTGTGACAACACGGACGTCATCGCCAGCTACAACAAACTGCCCAGGTTCCGCCGCAACAAAACCGTGCGCTACCGCGTGGTGAACCTGTACGACGACAAACACCAGAACCCCACCGTCAGCCAGCAGCAGATYGAGTTCCAGCACCAGCACCTGAACGAGGCTTTCAGCCGCTACAACATCACCTGGGAGCTGGAGGTGCTGGAGGTGAAGAACTCTTCCCTTCGCCACCGGCTCATCCTGGCCAACTGCGACATCAGCAAGATTGGGGAYGAGAACTGCGACCCCGAGTGCAACCACACGCTGACGGGCTACGACGGCGGCGACTGCCGGCACGTCCGCCACACSTTCTTCAACAAGAAGAAGCAGAACGGGGTGTGTGACATGGATTGTAATTACGAGAGGTACAACTTCGATGGCGGGGAATGCTGCAACCCAGAGATTACAGAAGTCACCAAGACTTGCTTTGACCCATATTCACCCTACAGGTAGGTGATTTCTTTTTATGGTCATGTTGATGAATATCTGTCTAGGTATTGATCAGCCTGCTGGCGGTTGAACCCTTTCGTTGTTGCTATTATTGGTTTTTGGAGTTAAATGAATTTTTTTTTATTAGTACTTGGCTCACATCGTAGTTATCTAAATGCAATCTTATCAATGATCTCAGCAGTGTCTTACCCCTGAACTGGCATTCTCCAGCCAGGCTAAAGAAAATCTGTGCTAAAGACTGAAGCAGCCAGTTTTGAGACACCCATTAGCTGTTGGCTGCGAGCAGCACATTGTAACTGTGCACAGTTTATTTTGACTCCAGACTCTGAGGAGCGGGGATTGGATGTCATAGAAAGCTCATGTGTATTTGGAGAGGGAAAAGGCCCTCGGGCATGAAAYAGAACATGAATACTCTTAGGTAGACCTTAATTCTGTAGCACTTCTTTGAAGGTAGATAGGTAATTCCATACTCTTCCTGCTGTGTGCAGCTCTCTTTGGGCACTGCAGCAGTGTCTGGCAGCTGTGAGGAGGGAGGTGGGTACCAGGCTCCTGTTGCACGCACTGGGTGGGTAATGAAACTCTTCTGTGCCCCTTTCTGCACATAAATRCAAACAGGGTAATGCCACCTCATTRCAGGACAGCTTTCAGTGGGTGGATCTGAGCTCATAAAATCCTCAGCTCCTCAGCCAAAGTGTCCTGGGGTTGCAGTTCAAGAAGTGGCATCCTTGAGTAACGTACCTGCAGTTACTCCAACTTGCTTTAGGTCAACTTCAGACAAATGAGTATGTTTGAGTAATAAAATATTACTTKTGAATGAGTTAGAAACACAAACACAGAAAAGATGGAGGTTAAAGCTGAAATTCTGTTGTCTGCATTTCGTGTTACAGCTTTTTTAGGGTGATTCATGGAGTCATAGAGGGGGCAACTTCTAAATGATCAGAACACCCAACACTAAAGTTCAGGTTAAGAAGGAAAGTATGAGTTGTTTAAGAGTCCCTTCCATTGCAGCAATTGAGACTATATTTATAGCCTCCTTTRGAGAGAGAAGTTTTTAAACAACATTATCAGCTCTATTGGAGCTTTAAATACACATAATTAAGTTGGAAAGAAAAGCTTCCTTTCCCATTCTTTTTTACTTGAGTGAGATTGTTTTTWAAAAAATCCTTCCAGCTCAGTTTGACTTCAGTCAGTTACCAGTGAACAAAGCTCAAATGAGGAAATGCTTTAAATATTAATGCTTGAAAACATTGAAAGAACAAATTCCAATTTTTAATACTGTTCAAGTGGAGAGGAACTCAACTAAGCAAATACCATCAAAGGCATAATGCAAATTGGATTGTTTTAACACCGGTTCTGAGAATTCGAGGTGTTAGTTATAGCAACCAGTACAATTTTTAGGAAAAAAATACRTTATTTTTAATCTGATAGTACCCTTTTATCACTTGTTCTGTGACCAGCATAATCCCCATATAAAATTAAACAAGAAAAGCCTTGTAAATTATATTTGACAGATTCCAGGCTRTGTTTTAATGTTATTCTGATGCACAGAGATGTTTCTATTTCAAATWAAGCCTTTTTGCTGCACAGACTGTGCTTGCACAAGCCCAAGCAAGGAATTGAGTTCCAGAATTTGAAGTTACCTCAGCAGTGTGTGGATGTTTCTCATATACAGTTTTAYGTTCCAGACAACCCCCTGGCTTGATTTGTCTGCAGGATTTACTTGTAATGGCCTTGAGCTCTCAGATCTTCTGCAGGTTCATTTTGACTTGAGAAAAAACTCTTCTTGACCTGAAATAGTGTAGCAGTCCTGAAAATCCTCTTCCGTAGAGTAGAACCTCAGAAAACCCATAGATGCTCCAAAGTTGTTTTTTGTTTTTGGTTTTTTTTTTAACAGATTTAATTTCTCTGTCTTTGCACAGACATTGTAACGCAGCAATGATCATTGGCCATGAAACCACCTAAAGCAGCAGGAGAAATTTCACCTCTCTGGAGCCTTTATTTGGTGGCTGATGTGCTTTGGCTCAGCTCAAACTCACTGCTATGATGGTGTTTTTGCTCAGGAAGGCAAAATAAAGCTGTTGGGTCTGTGGACCTCTCACTGAGCTTTGAAAGGCTGAGTTACACTGCTTTGAGTGTTTAGGTTATCAAATACAGGTTTAGGGCARTGATTTTGACAGAAAAGCCTTCACTGACTACCAGGGTGAAGATTCAAACCCTGYGTTTGTCTTTGGTGTTGCTGTCAGCATCGTCCCCTGAGAGAGAGATTTCCATGTCCATTAGTGACTAAGTCAAAATCTGTTTGGCACCATCTGGGCCCGTTTTGCATCCTCAGCCCTTCTTGTCATCAATTCCTTGGCCAAGAGTCCTCATTCCCCTCTAGTGCAGGCCTTAACCACATCGGTGAAGATGTTACAGCCATGGAGAGCTCCCATCTCATTGCAGGTATTTCCACTGCCAAAGTTCACTCCAACAATGGCAGGAGGAAGGGAAAAGATCCTTCAGTCTTTGTGAGGAAAAGGAGGGAAGAAAGATGAAACAGTACCAATAAAAAGTCTTTATTTTGTAAAGACTTCTCAGAGTCTTCCTTGGTACTGGGCTTTGTTCCTTCCACACCCACAGCATCAGCAGTTGCAGCCAGCTGTTCACCAAGCAGTGCTTATTCATAAAATACTTCTGTCCTCTGGAATCAACCAAAAAGTGCTAATGCTTGATTAATGCTGTAATAAACAGGAACCCTCCTCAGTGCCTCTTCATCCCCAAAAGATGATGTGTTTGTTTCCAGCCACTTTCCTTCAAACTGTGAGTTCCAGCCCCTGAAGCTCCATCCTGGGATAGTTTCTCTGAGCCTGGATACAAAAAGCCCTGTGGATGCTTCAYGACTCAGTGAGGCCACTGGAACAATTCCAAAACACCTCTGATCTGTGTTACGATTTTCTTGTGATCCTTTTGGGCACCTTGGACAAAGGGCTCAGGTACTTTGATGGTGTCATTCAGTCCCTGTGGTGGCACAACTCTGGTGACTTCAGAGCTGATCCCAGCAGCACAGCTGGTTGGTTTCTTTAATGCTTCCTGCCTGTCTTTGTGGCACCTCTCCAAAAAAGATTTAACCCAAAAAAGCTGGTGTTGTGKGCCACAGTGAGCTAGCAGAGATTTAAGTACATTCAAGTTTGTCAGAGGGACAAACTGCCTGACAGATACTCAGAAYGGGGACTCTGCTCTCAGTGTTGCTCAGCAGAAAAGCTGTAAACATTGTGGTACCAACTAGATCATCTCTCCTCTTTTTTTAATAGCCTGCAGGGAAAAAACAAAGGACTGGTTATCATTAGCCACACAGCAGGCTTTATCCAAGAATATCTGCCTCACTTCTTTTCATTAATTTCATGAGAGTGGGACAAAATGTATTTTGTCCCAGCAGAAGGTTTACAAATATTGTTCTGCTTTTCTGCAATTCCGGGAAATTGGAACATGCTAAGATCATACAGCCTGGCCCAATACAAAGGGAAGGAGCAAGAATAAAAACCCTTGCCAGAGAGGACTCACTCCCTGTGTTTTTGGGATATTGTTGGTTACAAAACAGGGAAGACTTTGAGCTCATGACACCTACCATGGCCGCTTTTCAAAGAGCTTGAAAGAAGCAGCAAGGGRCCATAGGAAATAATGCTCGGTAAATGCCATTTGATGTGGTGAGCTCTTGCACCATCCTATGGTTAACTGAGACGTTCCTTTTATGTAATATTGGGCTTGCACATCAGACCTCACCACAGGATTTCATGGACAGATAAGGAAGCATTCCCCTCGGTGCCTTCCTAGGAAAACGCTGTTGAAATTCCTGAAGCAGTAAAAGTACTGGAGCCTTTTCAAACTCCCTCAATACATATGGCCCACCAAATACTTGCTGGAAATCCCCCCAGAATAACTGACCTGAGGACAGACTTTCTCAACATCCACATGTGTGTGCCCCGAAGGCTCCCCCAGCCCTTTGATCCTGCCTAGATGAGGGGCAGGAGGAGCTCKACAAGCTCCGGTCCATTTGGAGCRAACTCAGGGAATCATAAAATCACAGAATGATTTGGGWTGGAAGAAACCTTGAAGATWATTCAGTTCCAACCCTCTYAGAGAGCTGRAGGCCAGTGCCCTGCTGATCCMACCCTCTTCTGTGTCCTTTTCCAGCAGTTTCATTGGACAGTTCAGCTCTGTTCATACAATGTCACATCGACTCTCTCAGGGTTGAGGACACTGGCACATTCCAGGCATACTAAAAAATAAATTAGACTCAAAATACGTGTCTGACCCACTTGTAGGAATTTCCACAGTGGTTTTGAGCAGCAATGGGTGTGGCAGGGCTGTGTATGAGCACACTGGGCTGTGGCACGTGGGTCACAGCAGTGGTGTCACAAGGAGGAGGTGCTGGCTRGTCCACAGCCCAGGGCAGCCTCAGGTGACTGAGCTGCACTTCAGGGTTATCCCATGGAATATCAGATCAGCCTCTTACCTCTTCCCCTCCTCTTTTGCTGGGAATCTATCTCTTCACTAGAGGCATGCTTGAAAAATATGGTCAGCTTACCCYGGAGGAGGGAGGCACGCTGAATGCCCTTTTCCAGGAGCTAGAGTTGTAAGAAATACTCCTTGATTCCCAATAAAGGACTAATTTACACTTAATCCTAAACACTAAAAAGAACAGAAAAAAATTCATCAAAGCTCTTCCGTTCCGGGAGCTTGAGAACTTAATCCCCTGCCTCGAAGAGACCATTGTGCAGCTCTTGACATCAAGGGCTCCTGCATTCACACAGGTATCAGACAGACACATAGCAAATACCTGACTTTTTGTCTAGGGATTCAGTGCTAAATGTCCAGTTCTTTAATTAGCAGCTCCAGGGCTGTTTAGAAGGCAAAGAGTAACGCTGTCAAGGATGGAGCTGCTGTATCTTGGTAGTTGTCACCCAAAAGCCAAGTCCCAACAGGAAATCCTCTGTTCTCTCTGTTTATTCTGTCCTCTGTT